GTCGGGGGGAGGCTGCTGGGTCCCCCACCCCAACCCCCACCCTTGCCAGGTTGGGCTCGGACGCCTGGGTCCCCCCCCTCCCTCTCCCAGCCCCGCACCTGCCGCATCGAAGGCTGCAGCGGCAGCAGGACCGCCTTCGCCCACCATCCTCCTTCCCGGAAGTCTCCCTCGCTGGAGCCCGGCTCGGGGGTGGAGCGCCGGGCCTCCCGGAGGCAATAGAACGGAATCGAACCAATCAGCACTAAGGGAATGCAGAGTGGCCTCGGTTGTATCCAATCAGAGGAGGGAAGTGAGGTTCCCCGAGTGAAGGGAAGCTTGCCCGTAGCAGGACCGCCTTCGCCCACCATCCTCCTTCCCGGAAGTCTCCCTCGCTGGAGCCCGGCTCGGGGGTGGAGCGCCGGGCCTCCCGGAGGCAATAGAACGGAATCGAACCAATCAGCACTAAGGGAATGCAGAGTGGCCTCGGTTGTATCCAATCAGAGGAGGGAAGTGAGGTTCCCCGAGTGAAGGGAAGCTTGCCCGTCCCAACGCAGGGCACGCCGAAAGGGCGGGACGCCGCTCAGCCAATAAACGAGGCTGGACACAAAACAACCTATTCTCGTCCTCTGCTTCTCGGAGAGAGAGCCCGATTGGCCAATGAGAAAAATACCCAGAGATGCCCTCCTTCTGTACGGCAACGGAGAAGGATCAAACTACCTCTAGCCAGGAGGCGGGGGGATGTTTAACCCTTTGCTCTCCCCCAGACTGTGTTGGAGTGTATAGGAAAACACGGGGTCGTCGCTTGTTCCGACGTTCGTTGGGTTTTGCAGGGACGAACCCCCGGGATTTAGGAACATCGGATAAAAGAATTCCAGAGCTCGGGTAAAAATATATATATTGTGGACTACAATTCCCACTCCTGGAAACTACAACTCCCATAATGCTTTGGGAGCATTGTGGTTTATCAAGTCATGTCCAGCTTTATGGCAACCTTAAAAACGAAGGAATTCCAAAAAGATCTCTCCTTCAGAGCCCTGCTCAGCACTTGCAAAATCAAGCCTATGGTTTCCTTAATGGAGCCTGTCCATCTCACATTTGGGTTCTTCCTCTTTTCCTACTGATGCCTATTTTTTTTCCTAGCAGGGTGGAACTGAAGCAGGTTGGTGTGGCCTCATCCTGACATCTTGGCCCAGGGAAGATCCACCCCAGGGCTCCGGCTAGAGGGACCGAGCCCCATTCTGGGGTTTCGTAGCCCTATCAGGGGGTCCCTCCCGATTGAGGTCACAGAAGGAGGGCAGGCCAGAGAGGCGACTGAACAAGCCAGCGCTTTGAGCCCGTGAACTCCGATGCCAGGTGGGCACAGGGGGACAACGGTCCACCTTCACACACGTCCCACAAACAAAACATTCTGCTCCTCCAACATGACTCCGCTGCCTCGGATTTATTTCCCTGCCTGGAGATCTGGGCGCCCCCCCCCTCCAAGACTTTGGCTGGGATCCCCAAACTTAGCAACCCATATACGCCCATGTGCACATCACCCATCTTGGTCTCTGCCAGTCCCACCTTAAAGGGTTGTCGTGAGGAGGGACTAACATGGAGGGAAGCCATGCACGCCACCCTGAAGGCTGTAACGGCAGGATATAATGGGGATTAATGGATGAATACGTAACACACGAAAGAAGGCCTGGGGGTCCTTGAATGCGAATCAGTGCCTGCTCCTGTCAATCGATCGTGGATCTTCCTGGTGGTATGTGGGTGTCATCCCCCCCCCCCAATATCATCACCTCGCAGCCTCATTGTGGACACAGCCTTTGATCTCAGCACAGAAATGGGGCTGTCTAGGAAGCTGCACCCTGATTGGAAAATCCATGTTCCCAAAGCCCTGCTTTTAATCTGAAGCAGGAGGTGGTCCTCCATGTCCCGCCTGCCGGTCCTCTCTCCCTCTCTTTTCTATTCAGGAAGAGAACACAATTAGCATTCGGCAGAGGAAACCAGCTTCGCTGCACTTGGGGCCGCTTCCCCGTGAGAAACAATACCACCCGACACCCTGTGAAACCGGCAATTTTTTTTGCTCGCTCTGAGAACAGCCCCTTTCAAAGTCGGTGGTGAGAAAGAATGAAAACCACGTTATCACGTCACTCCTCTATCATTTATTAGCTCGGGAATGGTTTGGTACATCGGGTGCAGAAAGAGCCCACGGCACACGCTCACGCACACACAGGGCAGTAACGGGGGTCCGTGCCCAGGGGGGGCATGGTGCCTTCCATGCCACCGGGCCGGGGGGGGGAGACGGGATGGCAAATGCAGAGCAGCCTGGCAAAGCTACAGCTCACATCACAGTGTAGTGCCACGTGGGGGTTGGGGGGGACCCTGGTTATGCAAAAAGTGGGGGGGAGCAGGCAGGTGGGGATGGGCTTTGGAGTGCCAGTGAGAGGATGACCACTCTTCCCAACGCAGGGGCCTACCTGCCAGCCCCCAAATATTCCTCATTACAAGCTACAGGAAACCTTCCCCAGGTGACAAAGAGTCATCCTGCACGCACACCCCCGTTTGCATCCTGATCCCCCCCCCCCTTCAGCCTGCAGGTCTCTAAATCGACACAGCATTTAATGAAGCTCCAAAGTCCCTTTGCATCCATGACTCAGAGCTACACAACAATCCAGCAAGGAAGGCCTGGGTGATCGTTTCCCCTGCCTCCATGGCAGGACCCCTCCTTAACCGGCTTTTCGTCTTCTTCCTCCTGCCCTCCCCGTCACTCGTGCATTCGCTGCCTCTCGCGCGCCGGACGCTCTTGTGGCTTTCGATGAGCTCCTGTCACGGCTAAGGTAGAAGAAGCTAAGGGTGGGCTGGGGAGGGCGACTGGCGTGGCTGATCGTGGGAGGGAGCGAGAAGGGGAGACGCCGTCACAAGGGGCCCTATAAGCCTGGCCGGAGAGAGGAACGCCGGGGCTCAGTAAGCGTGGTTCGCGACGTAGAGGGACTGCCCGGCGGCCCCGCACTCATCCCCGGAGCCTTCGTACTTGCCCAGCGCGGCCAGGCCGTTGATCTGGAAAAACAGAAAAGGGAGATCGCGCCTCAGATCATCTGTCACACAAACTCAGTCTGTCCGGATCTGCTTGGTCTACACTGGGTATGGCGCCTTCAGACCTGGGGCCAAATCCGGACAGCCGGGATTCTCCTGCATGGGTTGTCCCCTTCCTACAAGGACGAATCGCCTCTGCTAAGACTAAGTCAGGAGCAAGAACCTTAATGCTCAGACCGGATGAATTTTTGGGCCCCGTCCCTCTGCCCTTGCCTGGAAGATTCGAAGATTTCTGTGTACAAAGTGAGGTTTGGATCTTCCCCCTAAAATATGAACTAAGGTGCTAGTCCTCAAGCGCCTGAATAAAAGGGGACTTCAAAGAGGGACAGAGGAAGCTTCTTCTGCCCTTTACCTCGGCGCGCTTCACAAACTCCTCGGTGGCCGCGTTCTCATTCTCCCGTTCGCCCCGCCAGGCGTTGAGGGCCGAGGCCTGGAGGGCGCGGCCGTAGGAGAAGGTCAGCGCCCATGGTCGGGGCAGCGGGCAGTTGTTGATGGCGTTGAGGTTGATGGAGGCTTCCTCCTCGCTCTGCCCGCCAGACAGGAAGGTGACGCCTGAAGGGGGGGGGAGAAGAGAGAGAGGGAGGGCAAGGTGGGCTACCATCCTGCTCCAGCCCTAGGGGGCAGGTGGGGGGGGAGCCCAGGTATGGGGACTGGGGGGCAGAGGCACTGGGGGGCAGCCCTACCTGGTACGGCGGGTGGCACCGGGCGGCCCAAAGCGGTCACGGTGGCCATGGCGATCTCCTCGGGGCTGTACTTGGTGGGGCAAGCGTGGCCCGGGGTGACCATGTTGGGCTTGAGCAGGGTCCCCTCCAGGTAGACGTGGTGGTCGCTCAGCGCCTTGTAGACAGCCGCCAGCACCTGGCAGAGAGAAATGAAGCACACCAGGTGTCAAAGCACACGAGGACCGAGACAGCGTCCCCAAGTCATGGCTGACTCGAACCCCCCACCTCTCACGTCCCAGCTTGAAATTCTCACCACTCTACACCACATGGCCACTCAAAGAGAAATGGCTGAGCTAGGAATTGTCTACCTGCATCCCTGTCTCTCGTTAGCACAGCGCATCCACTTGAATGCTTCCCCCCCCCATGGAAACCAGCATGGACACTGGAATAAAACCACCCTACAGACAGTCCTTGCTTTAGGGTGCTGGCGGGACAGGAGGATGGGAGTTGGAGTCCCGTGGGGCCTCGGAGTGATGTCAGGCTGAACCGCCTCACCTTCTCCGTCACGTACTGGCAGCGTTTCAGGTCATGCTCTCCGTCAGGCAGGATCTCGGGTTCGACTATCGGCACAATGCCGTTCTGTAGCAGAAGAGACCGGGTCAAAGCAGTGGGGGAACCTCCACGCCCACAGGCCACGGACAGCCCACAAATCTGGCCCACGACCAAGACTCCTCCCATTCCCCAGTGCGAAGGCCAGGTGTTTCCCCTCCCTCGAATAACCCGGCTGACCCAATCCGACCGTGGGCAGGAGGCAACACACCCCCCCTGACGGAAAAGACAGGGTCACCCAGAGACACCGGGCAGTGCCAGGCGAGACTCCCCAGCCACGTAACCGGCCCCCTCACCTGCTGGCAGATGCTGGCGTAGCGCGCCAAGACGTTGGCGTTCTCCAGGATAGCCAGGGGGGAGGGCGTGTTCTCGCTGATCTTCAGCACGCACCGCCACTTGGCGAAGTCGGCGCCGTCCTTCTTGTACTGGGCGCAGCGCTCGGACAGCCCGTCCAGACCTGGCAGAAGGAAGGGAGGGGAGGGATGAGGAGAAGGGAGGGAGGGAAGTGGGCAAGGAGGAGGAGGGATGAGGAGAAGGGAGGAAGGAAACCACAGCAGTGCAACTGAGCCCACATTTGCAGGAGCGATGGTGGCCCCTGCATGGGGGATGCCTCTGGGATGCCTCTGAACACTGCCGTTATATTACTGGATGCCTTTTTTTCAGCTACTCCAAAGGCACCTCTTTACCCAGGCCTTTTTTTGGGGGGGAGGGAATAGACTGTGTTCCCCACTTAGAGCAAACCTGCATGCTCTGTATTCAAAGACAGGGAAAGTTCCTTATTCTTGGACTACAGAGCCCATCATTCCCATGCCTGCAATGATCCCGGGTGCAGCAGTCTAAACAAAAGTATGGTGATTTATTTATTTATATTTTTTAAAAAAAATCTTAGTGCCCATTCTTTATGATCTTTTGAATAAGATAAGCTGATTTATTGCTGTCCTCTGTTGGGAGTGACAGGCTAGTACCCATGCCATCCACACTTCAGGATCCTGTTATATTTTGCATAATCGGAACTCGGTACAAATCCTTTTCTAAAAGACCCTCCTCCCTTTTCAAAGCTACAGCTTGGTCTTTTGCATTTCCAGTGACTGATCATCGCCACGGCGGTTTATATTCGTCTTATTAAGGTAACCCGCTCTGGGGACGCAGAGGGAAACAGAAGGCTAGGCCTTGGACAGGTAACGGATCAACGAACGGGAGTAACCAGCAAGTCCAGTTCACACGTGAATAGTTCCTCGGTTCGGCTCCTGATCCTCTCGCCCTTACCTTGGGTGGTGGTTTCTCCATCCGTGCCGGCGAGAGGCACGACCCCTTTGTCCACCTGGAAAGGAAGGAAGGAAAGGCCCACCGGCTCAGGATAGTGCCCCTCCGCACAGCCAAGCCCTAACCCTCTCCACCACTCTCTCTCTCTCTCTCTCTGGACTCCAAGTTCCATAATCCCCCAGCACATGCGCACCCGGGAGGGGGGGGAAAGCACACCCCGCACCTTGATCCCCACGACAATGTCCTTCTCCTTCACCAGGTCCACGAAAGAGGTCCCGTCGTCGGCTTTCTGGTACATGGTTTCGTGGAAGAAGATGACGCCCCCGATGCAGTTCTGGATCCGGCTGTCGGCGCTGAAGAGGACCTGGCGGTACAGCCGGCGGTTCTCCTCCGTGTTCTCCACCCCGATCTGGTTCAGGCGCTTCGCCATGCTCCCTGGGGCGACAAGAAGCGGGGGGGGGGAGAGAGAAAAGAGGGTGAGGGGGGCTTCTCCTCCTCCCCCCCCCCCGGTTCAATCGGGCTTCAAGCCCTCAGGCTGGGGTCAGGGTCTGTGCCCCCCCCCACAAGTCTGGAGGGCAACCTCGTCTCCCAGCCTCGGTTCCTCGTTGGAAAACGGGAGATCAACACCCCCACCGGGACAGCCAGAAACGAAGGAGGTGAACCAAGGTGGCCTGGATGTTAAATCTCCAGAGAGCCCAGTTAGGACTGCACAGCGAAAGATACCTTCAAAGACTACAGTTCCCACAATCCCCCTGTGAGGGTAGCAGGTGGGTTTTGGGACCCGTGGTCCAGAAAAAGCAGTGTTGGTCCCACCCTCTTTTCCTTCGAAAGCTACAGCAGAAATGACTGTACAGATGATATTACAAAACGTTCCCCTCTACCTGACATGGCGCGTTTCAAATTGTCTTGGACTACCACACCCATCACTCCCGCCATTGACCATGCCATCTAGAGATAAGTGGGGAGTTGCGCTAGCCCCATAAATCTGGAGGCAGGGAAAGGCTGCGGTAAAGTCTATTTATTATACTGGGGATAATTATTTTCTTATGCTCAGCACTCTGTTGGAACAGCAAGCTGGTGACCCTGACTGAAGCTCCTTTCTGTGCCACCCTGATAATCTGAACCCCAAAAAAGAGGGATTCGAATTCGGTGCTTTCTGTAAGCAAAACGGCACTCTATCCACCCAGAATGGGTCCAACCACTGAGATGACAGCCAGTTTCTTTTTTTAAAAAAAAGCACCCAGACACAGCGGAAGGCTCGAAAACATTTGCTTCAAGGGTGAACCCCTCGTCCTTCAGACCTACCCACGGATTCATCGGCGGCCAGGATCCCCTTGCCCGGGGCCACGATCCGCTGGGCAATGTCGGAGAGCTCCTTCTTCTGCTCAGTGGTGAGGGCAGGGTATTGGTGAGTCATCTTGGCGACGTCTCCCTGCAAAAGGTAATGGGGTTTAATTCTGTCCTTGCAAGACGTTTGACACGAAGGAAAGAAATCCCAGTATCCTTAGGTAGGTCATGCTGTTATTAGGATCAAATGTAAACCCACTAAGCAGGCAAGCTTCTGAGTTCTTCAGGATTCCTCATCAGGGAAGAAGCCGGTGCAATCCAGAAAAAGCACCAAGTCCATCCATGACATTACAGCTAGTCAGCCCAAGTCCTGCTTGCCCGCGGTTCTTGTGGCACCCTGCATCTGGTTTATCTCTGATTTACAACCCATCACGAACATGACTGGACAAAAAATTGTCAAGGGAAACCTTTACCTTTACCTTTTTACAACCCATCAACCTCCCAAATATACGTATATATCTTTGGGTGTGCCTGTGCATATATAAAACCCTGACCTTCTTGGCATATTTCTTGCGAACTCCAGATTCATCCGGAGAACTGTTTATAGCTCCTAAAAGCTCACGCAACAATAAACAAATTAGCCTTTAGACTCTTTCGGTTTTTGGTTCTCATGGCACAATAAATTGGTTCCCCTTCAAGCTATCACAGGTCTCCCGGTCTCGCACGGCGTCCATGTCTGTGAAAGGGTGGTGCCGGGGAAAGACTCCAAATTTAAACTCCACTCCTTGCGTGTGCGTCACACCCGGGAGCCTGACTCTGCAAAAGGAGCCGGAGGCGGACCAGGTGAGGGTGCAGGAGAAATCGCACCCCCTCGTCTCCAGCGCATCCTCGTAGCGCTGCTCTTTGTCCGATAGTCCCGCGCTGTCCGGGGAAGCACCTGGTTTGGTTACGTCTGGCACAACGGGCTATTGAACTGGACTTACTGATTGTGTTGCGTAGGAAAATGCTTCTTCCTCATTCCTCAGCGGCCCGCAAGGAGAGCACCACCCAAAGGCAAAAAAGAGTTGGGCCAGTCCCAGGTTTCCGCCGGACCAGTGAGAGCTTCGTTGTCGCCGTGTGGACAAATTATATAACCAGGAGGAGCAGGGCGAGGATGGTGTGGCTGGATCACCCGAGGCGGGCACGGGCACGTGTCCAGTCCCGTGGGACACCCAGCCATCTGGCAGCCCGCACGGCGGCTTGCCCACCCCCCCCCATCCCTAGTCAGCCCGAGGCCTTGTTGTTGTTAGTGGTACGTGAGGATTATCACCCCACCCCCTTCCTTCCATCCTTCCTCAGAGGCTTAGTGGAAAATCTCCCCGAGAGGCTTTGCTCTTGTCCTCCCTTCTCTGGGTCCCTCAGAGGCAAAGGTTTCCTCTTTTATGGACTACAACACCCATGGTCCCCCAGCAGTTGTATTCCTCCTCCCCCCCCCTCCAAAGGAACCACTTTAAAAGCTCTCTGGATCCCTCCCTAGATCCCTGGAGGATTGGATTTCTGGAACCCAGAACGCACCCACCCACCCCTCCCTGCTTTGTTCTGCCTTCTCCCTTCAGGGCCAAAACCCCAAGATTTGGAGAGACGTGGTGGCCACCACCCAGAGGGAAAACTGAACAGGAAATGGGTTAACGCCTGCACCAGGAAGTACGGAGTCCTTATTTAGACAGAGACGGGAGGATTCATTAACCAATCTTCTGCAAGTGGTATTTTGCAGCTCCTGAAATGGATGACTAAGAACATGAAACATATTTCATCAGAACTTTAAGAGGATCCTTCTTCTGGGACCACAACTCCCACCTTGCTGGCTGGGGGACCATGGGCACCGTAGTCCTCCCCCCCTTTAAAAAAAAGGAGAAATCTTTAGGAAGTCTCCCATTCCGTATCACAATCCTCCCCCTCTTGCTTCCATTTCTGGATTATTGTTGTTGCTGCTGTTTTGCGCTTTTGTTATCGTTTTGGTTATCTTTTGTTTTTGTTTTTTAATGTGTTTCTTAGTTGCCTCTGGAGCCGTCTTTTTAAAGTAAAATAAATAAATAAATACAAGAGAGGAAAACAAACGACAGCCTGTGAAGCAGCCGCCTGAAGTGCTCCAGAGGGGTGGGAGTCCCATCCCCACCCTCTACGGCAACATGGAGGGGATGATGGGTGTTGTAATCCAATCACTCTGGAAGGGTACGGAGCCATCTTTTTAAAGTAAAATAAATAAATAAATCAGGATGTATACAAGAGAGGAAAACAAACGAGAGCCTGTGATCCATCCTCACCCTCTACGGCAACATGGAGGGGATGATGGGTGTTGTAATCCAATCACTCTGGAAGGGTACCAGTTTGGGCAAGGGGAGCTTGGACAGAACAAGCTCTCCTTGACACGGGGAGGCACCACCTGTCCGCACACACCTGGGTGTGGCATCCACACACTTACAAAGGAACAAGAAATCAGTGTGAGGCATCGAACCGGCCTCCCTTCCTGCCCCTCTCTGGGAAGAGGGGTACCTCGGAGCATGCACAGAGTATGTGACCCTCCTGAGCCTGCCATGGACAGATTTGCATCCCAGCCCTCCCCCCCCAGCCCTTTGGAAAGCCCTGCAAGGCCGCTTGCATCAGGCAGAAGATGGCGGGTTTTATATCACGGGAGGGGTTGGCTGTCCATGGCTCCCCCAGAGCTGGCAGGTTCTCTTTCTCTCCCTCTCTTGCTGCTGACCCTCCTTGGCTTGAGAAGGAGACCTGCGCTCCCAAAAGCTGACGCACTTTAAGGAGGTTGCATCCTTTCGGTTGGCCTCATCCGTCCCAAGGTGGGGTCTGGGACCGGGTTGCCCGCCTACCCCCATTGAACAACACCTGCCTCTCCTCCTCCCGCAGATGCCTCCAATCCTCAGGCGCCCCCCTGAGCCATAAAGAGAGAACAGAGACAGAGGCAGGGAAGGGGGGTGCCTGTGGAAAGGGCCACGGATCCTGGCCAAGGTGAATAAAACCTAAACCCATGAAAACCAACCCACACTCAGGGATAAGAGATTATCCATCAATGATGCCAGGGAGGGAGGGTTGGATGAACCCCAAAGAGCAGAGAGAAAGCTTGGATTTGAGGCTCCCACCCACACCTTTGAAAAGAGTCCACGCCCCAGCAAACAAATGCAAAGCAACGTCATTCCCCCCCCCCTCCAAGTCTGGGACGGGCACCAACCTGTCCTCCTTTGGCAAAAGAGGCTGCTATGGCGAAAGTGTGTTATGGCAACCTAGTGGGGAGACACACACACACACACACACACACACACACACCCGCCAGGATATTCCCAAAACACAAGGGCGATTCCAGAGGGAAGGAAGGCCAGCATCCTAAAGAAGGCATTTTTTAAAACTCCAGGACTGCCTCAAAGTTAATTCCCGGGATTACAATTCCCAGAGGCCCCCCCTCCCCTCCCGTTAGGCGTCTCCAGAGTCGGCAAACCTTCTTCTTCCGACTTTCTCTCTGGATTACAACCCCCAGCATGCTTGGCTGGCTGGCAGTTCAGGGAGTTGTCATCCAAAAAAGAGAGAGAGAGAGAGAGAGAGACAGAGGAAGGTTTCTAGACCTCTCCTTTAGGAGGTCCCCGCGGCCAGAAGGAGAGAACGGAGGCGCCCTCGCCGCCCAGCTCAACCAGAATTGCTACCTAACCGGTCAGGCAGGTGCCTCTGAGCATGTCAAGAGGTGCCCCGCCGCCTGAAACGGGAGGGACGGGCTGACCTTCGTCCCCCTTCCCCCCCCCC